TTGATGCATGATTGGAAAGCACCATTTTTCAATCACATCCAGGTCACAGCCCCGATTGGGCCTTTCCAATTTGCAATGGAAAGCCACTAAAACTGACATTCCGGAGCATATGCACAGCAAATTCGTGGCGCAGGAAGTGGTATGATTTTGAATATAAATTTTGCAGTGGTTCCTCAGGTTTCACGCTCGGTTCATGCTCGGTTCACGGTAATAGCTGGCCTTATGCCAGTAATAGTAAGTCTTTAGGGGGTCCGTTCACGCTCTGTCCGCTCGGTTCACACTAGCAATATTGGGCCCCTTACAATTCATATACAATGCATTCGTGGTGATTCCAGCCCTGATTCCCAATGATAAAATAGTGTGGGGTACCCAAAAATAAACCACAAATTTGATATTCTTGGTAGGTGAAAGGAAGTGATTATGCTGAAATTTAAATCGTTTCCTGCAGGATTAAATGGTGAAATTTGCCCGCATGTAAAGCTGTCATATATGATATATCATTGATCATCAGAAATGACTTCATGATACAGCTCAGAGCCCGAAGCTGGTTTAAAACACTACACCACCCAAAAGGTCCAAGTAATAGTATGTCCCCATCAAGTGATAGTAGGTCCTGGTCATCAAAGTTAAAAAGCCAAGTTTTACGAGGTCATCGACCTGGAGGGTATTGTTTTGAAGCTTTGCTTGGAAATCAGTTTTTCTTGCAATTTCTTTTGCAAGCGCTTCGTTTATTTTACGCACTTTTCATTTCTGTTTCATCATTTGCACTGCCCCGTAATCTTTCTACAACGATTTTCCCCCCACCCTGGCAAATACTCTGATCTAGAACCCTTCCGATGCACAGTACCATTTTCCCTCAACAGCGCGCGCTACTTCAGCCAGAATGATCAGTTCCGGAGTGCTCTGGCGCAGCTCCTGGGACAGGTTCCGCTGCGGTTCCGAGGTTCCGGTGCGGCCGTTCACAGCTTCCGGTTCCCGCGGTCCTCTGCAGCGAAAAGCCAGTGCATGTGCTCAGTGGCACATATATTCAAATGACAACATTGGCGAAGCGGAGAAGGGATCCATGTGAACAGCTGGCGTTAGATTTTTGATTTGCATTGCGTGATGTTTGTGAAATTGTGGCAGGTTATCGATTTTTGTCCACGGTTTGACTTTGTGTTTTGTTTTTTTAAGGGCTTGGAAGGCTGAAGCAGAGAAGAGTTCCATGCCGACACTGGCTGCTGGCTGAAAAGTTAGTGCATGTGCTCAGCGATGACGCGCGCTTCAATGAGAGCTTTGGCGAAGCGGAGAAGGGTTCCATGTGAACAGCTGGTTTTAATGTTTGGATTTGCATTGCATTATGTGTGTGTGATATTGCGGCATGTGATTCAGTTTTGTTCGCGGTTTGAACTGGCATCTTTTTTGTGGAAGACAGCGTGGAACCTGCAACCAAACATTGATCAAAGTCAATAGCTGCTGCTGTTGGGGATACCACCGAAGCTTTAAAAAAACAGAGCCTGTCTCAAATAGAAGGCCGGAAAGAATGTCAGAATAATATAGATCGGATAAAGCGGCAGAAAAATGTCACAATATATGGCAGGTAAATTGTAAGATAGAATGTCGGATCAAGCTCAAACAGGATTCCCAAGACCAAATAGATTAGTGAACGAATGCCAAATACTTTTATATAATTAGACTACCAAATAGAATACGCCAAGAATGTAAGAATGCCAGCTGAAATGCCAAAAACAATCCAGATAACATGTCGTTGAAAAGTCAAGAGCTTTTGCCACCATACATCCCACATTGAATGTCCGGTGAAATGTCATGTAAATGCCAGCAAACCACTATGTCAGAAACAATGCCACAGAATATGTCAGAGAAAATGCTAGACAGAGAATTATCATGTAATAACATATGCAAAATAAAGTGCCCAAGAAAAAGTTATATAGATGAAACGCTAGAAAGCAAACCAAAGAACATGTACAAGGAGACTGTCAGAGATAACGTCAACCAGACTTTCATGTAGAAAGGCCAAAGAAAATGGCAGATAAATGTCGCAGACAATACCAGATAAAACGTTTGAACATGTGCCAGGATTTGTTGGAGACAGAGATAGCATCTTCCTCGCACATTCCTTTGGCTGCAGGTCTGCAATACCCTTCCGAGGCAAGGTCTTTGGCCCATGACCCATTCAGCACAGCCCCCCAAAAAAAAACTGTTGGCAGCCGTTTTTTGTTTGGGCAAGGCGTAATTATTCCTTCTCACGGACAACAAAATGTCAGAAGATACGCCAAGCGAAACAATGCCAGATGAAGCCTCAGCAACATAGAATGCCAGAAAAAGTAACAAATAACATGTCAGAATAAATACCAGAAAACATGCAAGATAGAACAGGATGCCAAAGAATGCAATATAGAATATCAAAAAATGTCTTTAAAAAATGCCTTAAGAAGCAATAAACTAAATAAAACGTGACTATGCCAGATTGAATGTCACAAGAAATGCTACATCAAATGCCAGATAAGATGCCCGAAAAAGGAAAAACATTGCAAATAAACTGTCATAAAGCGCCAACTGATATACCACAGATAAAAACAAACTAGAATGTCAAACAACCACACTATATGGCAAATAAACATAACATAACATGCCAGATCGACTGCCAGAAAGGGTGCCAAATAAAGTAATTACCACATAAAATACAACATAAAAGCCTTTAAAAGACCTTCATAAATTACCATAACCATACGGTATGCCAAAATATATGCCAGATAGAATGAAACAAAACCCCAGATAAAATGCCAGAAATAATGCTGGGCAAAATATTAAACATAATGAATATTTGCCCGAATTGATACCAAATAGAATGCCACATAAAATGCCACAATAAAATGTCAATTGGTGGCAATTACGCGAAGTTAAAACTAAAAAATCCGGAAACGGCAGAGAGATGCTATGTCAACAGATCCAAGGTGTCGAGGGCGAACACATGTCACACAAGCTTCGAAAAAATGTCAATACGCTAATCTGTGATGTTTTAATTAATGTGTTTCTTCGTTGTGGATCATCGTTGTTTCACGTGAGGACAAACCAAACAATATGATAAAACAAACAACAAACTATCCCGGTCACATGCTATCTTGGTGTTCTACGTCATATCAAGGAGATGTATATCCAATTTTAAACCCCAATTGAGAGGTTCTTGATTGAATTTCCTATCGGGCGTAGATGGTTGCATTAGTTCATCTTTTATGCAATGAACTATATATCCACCTCGCTGGGGACAGCAACCCATGAGCGCTGGCACCGAAGAAACCTGGCAGTGTTTTCAATATTTTTCTATTGTATTCTATTTAATTATCCGGATATTTTCCATAAAACCCAAAAACCCAATAGTGAAAACATTCCCCCATGTTGAAATGTCTGTGCTCTTCACGCCCCAAATAGAAACAATACCTTGACCCTCCCTTTGCCCACCAAAAAATGACAAACACAAAAGCTTTGTTTTTTCTAGCCGATTCTAGCCAGACAGCCACCCAGGTTTTCTCCCAAGATTCCGCCCCATTCACAGTCAACATCATTCATGATCCATCATGTGGGCAAATTTAAATAGTTCACTATCCTGAAAGAAGGCCATTTTGGCATGATAAGCCTTATTAACCAAATATGTGATGTCATCCCTTGCGAATTCGCCAGTTGTTCCTGGGGCGTGAAAACAACGGGGGACCCCGTTCGGCCCAGGGACAATGCCATTGCCACTTTGTCCAGAAAGGGCAAATTATTCAGGTTCAGAAAGCCTCAGAAATGTCGACCCCTAAACAGACAGGGGATTCAATCACATGGTGGTATAAATCGGTATAAATGAAATGAGGATTAACTCAGATATCATGGAATATACATCATGGAATATTGATTGGATATATGTAATATAATATTAATGTAATATATATATATAATATGTTGAATTTTGAATATTGACTGTGTCCCTCTGGTGATCAATGACATGGATATTTCAAGATGAATTTCATACGAACAATTCCAACAATGCCACTTAGCGCGGGGATTTGCCAGCCATGTTTGAGGACACCTGAGGGTATTTGTTTTAGACACCTGGATTTTACGAGTATATACTATGGAAAAGTTGAACATGTGTTGAGATTTTGCAACTTCAAAAAGGGAAAGGAAAATCACATCAACGTGATGGGGTTGTCCCGGGTACCATGTGGTGCCCCTGTCTAACTACTCAGACCTTCTATGATGTTAAATGAAAATACAAAGCACCCTTTCAAATAAAAGCTACATTCAACCACATATTATTTGAGACTTCCATGCAGTATGGAAACAAGTGACTCATCGTGGCACACGCAACAACTTGTTGAGTTCATCAAACACTGCGTGATCAAGGATCGGTGATGTCCAGGCACGATACATCCATTGAATTCCATTGATATACCAACTTAGCAGCTCTGGGTGCACAACACTTGTATGCTGGCTCTTCATGTTTCTTGCAGCAGAGGTGCCTCTGAAGAACGCACTTAAGAGTTCTGATCAATTGCGCGCTAAGTCACATGATCCTTTGGAGCTTCTACTAGCCGGCACTTTGAGGCTCAAGGCCCCTTTTAGGGTGATTTGATCCAAGCAGAATCGGACATTGGAGAATGTAGTGAACTGACCTGGGAAGTGGCTTCTCGATTTGTGTGTGTCATCCCAGCATGTAGTATGTAGTGTCAACACAGTGTCACATTCACATTGGGGAAAGTTGTTTTGGCCAAAAACTGGCATTGTTGAGGCCAACAGCCATTGCTTCATTTGTAGGCAGGAAAATTCCAGTCTGCCATCATCAGGTAGGAAAATTCCAGTCTACCTGGCATATATGGAGAAGTGCATTCATCAGGTGGGAAAATTCCAGTCCACCTGGCACAAATTGCATTGCATTGCATTGTATCGTATGGGGAGAAAATTCCAAACCGAAAACCAGAGGCGGTGCACTTAAGAACCTGTCGACCATCACCTGTATCCTTGTTGGTATTGATCCAGCTCAAAGTTTTCACCGATTCTGCGATCCACGCAAGATGAGCACCTGTGCGTGACAATGGGTCTTGCACGCATCAACAACTCACATTCGTTGAACGGGTGGAACCTGGTGGCTTGTCGAATAGTGTAGACCTCGGAGTGGAACTCCAGCTCGTGGTGGTACCACTCATTTATGTTGTTGTTGCCCGCCTGGGCCTGATCCAGAGAATCCTGCAGCTCATGAATTTCGCGTTCCAGATCGAAATCACATTGTTCTTTGCTTTCGAGAAGGGATAGCTCGTTCTCTTCCAACTCCAGCTTGACCTTTTTGAGGTCTGCACGAAACCGTTCTGCATCTTGCTTGTCGGTCTCGCTTGTATCCTTCATCACTTGGACATAGCTGTTCAGAGTTTCCAGCTCACGCTCATAGCTTTTGATGACTCTTTGTTTGTCTTCCTTCTCAAATGTGCAGGGCGTAGTGCATGTGACTCATCTCCTCGTAGGTGATCTCACATTAAGCTTCTTGGTCGTGTCGTTTTGGCATTCGACGCACCAGCTCAGCACGGTTGAGGACGTTGGGGTAGTCCATGAACATCCACATGCAAAAACATCCACTGAAAAAGGAAATCAGCATCGTCATCAAAAATTGCAGCAGCTCGAAAACTTCTGAAACATCATTCATGGAGGTCGCTGTGACAGGCATGATCTGCGAAATGACCACGTCGGCTAAACCACCTACCTTGCTAGCAGCTTTTGAAAGGGCAAACTTGCGGGCATTGGCTTCACGTTGTTGCTGCGTCTTCGTTGGGGAACTTTAGCACGAATTGAATTGTACAAGGCTTTGGCATCCACAACCAGGGCAGGTTTGTTCATCACCCAATCACCTGGAAATTGCAAGGTATAGTCAGCATTCAGGCAGCTTTGAATCAAAGCGCGGGTGTATTCCAAACTATCCATCGCAGCAGCACATGCGACTCTGCATTCAATGAGCTTCTGGAGACGCGGGGCAAACGAAAGCTTGGCCAGTCCAAGATGATGTAGCTGGTGGCTTGACCATCTATAATCTCTTGTGGAGCCAGCATGAGAAGGTATCCACCATGGCTGTGGCCTTCACGTCTGATTCCCCATGAGGCGTCGCTCATTGCAAGCAGAACCGTATCTGAGATTTGACCAAGTGGACGAAACTGGAGTCAAACATCATTGTTCATCTTGGCAAACTTCAGAGCTTTGTTTGCATCACGCAAGTCTTCAGTTGTTGCAGCTGTGATTTGACCACTAAGGAGAGACACTGTAGCACCAAGTTGCGGTGACGTCTGTGTACTTGGCCGTTGGAGAGCTCCTAGCACTGCACGCAAGGCGCTGATCTCGTTCTGGGAGGCCATTGCAGTGTCACGACGCTTGGGGTCAATGGTGATGGGCTTGATCTTGCTGAAGTATTCAGGCTGTCCAAGTTGGTAACCGTAGGGTGTTTTCACCAGTGAGCATCCGCAGAAGTCTAACTTCTCACGCTCGTTGGTGTGAGTCCAGTGCTTGAAGTTGAACTTTTCGCGCAGCAACTTCTTGGCAGTCAAGTAGCATTCACTTTGAGGATTGCCACTGATCAGCATGTCGTCGACATGAAGTCCTACCAAGCAGCATAAACATCCTTCAGAGTCAAACAATCTGAAGAGACAACCATCGAGCTTGTGTTGGGAGAATCCTACTTTTTTTGCTACCTGATACCAGGCTCTGGGAGCATCTGCCTGGCCATATACTGGTTTCAACAAGCGCATCAGGGAGTTTGGCTTGATGTCCAAGAGGTTGCATGCATCTCGGGGAAGACGGCACCAAGCTCGCGGGATTGGTCTTCCCCGTGCAAAAAGGCTGTGGCCACATCGGCAAATAGGAATTCCCAGTCTTTCAAATCACCAATGGATAGGAGCACTTGTCTGGAGGTTCTGTTTACAGCTGGAGAGCTTGTTTCCAAACTACCGAGGGTCAGAGTACCCTTGTAGCACCAGGCGTGCTTTTGCTTTTGTGCCTCCTTTTCCATCATCAGCCCACTTAAGAACAAAACGTGCTTTGAGAACTCGGCCCTCAGAGGCCTTTTCAGGTTCAAGTTCCAGTTTCCATACTCGATTTTCAAAAGTTGATTGCAGCTCGGCCTTCTTTGCAGTCATGAAGGTGAGGCGGTCTTCAATGGCCACGGGGATTCTTTCAAATCAGCCTCATTGTCCTTCTTCTTCTAAGGGCGAGTTGCAGCCATCCAAACTTCAGAGGGTGAGTTGTCCGTGAAGTTGGAGTTGGACTTGTGGATCTTCTTCTCGAGGTTGATGTATGGCATCTTGAGCTTCAAGACAGCATTCTTGTTGAGAGGAAACAAAGTTTTGCCGAAAAAGGCATCATTGGAAATTCTGCGCTCAGCAGCAGCGACGGAGTCAACCATCATAGCGGCAGCACCGTCACGCAAGGTGATCTTGTAGGACTGCAGGCCACACAACTTAATGGAGACATTCTTGATGGCTTCAGCTGTTGGTCTCCATGAATCATTGCGGGCCACAACATGGTTTCGGACCAAGAATCCGTCTTCAACTGACCCAAAGTCTTTGGTTTCACCCAAAACGAAGGTGTTTGAGACATCATCGTAGGTCCATCCCTCAGGCAGCATCTCTGCAGGCACCTTGTTGTGCTCGCCATTAATGCGGTAGAAACCAATTTCAACGCTGTTTTGGATCTTTTGGCACTTTTGCTCAGGAGTTTCATTGGGTTCTTCCAAGGAACGTCGCTGGCTTTGGAAGTTCGTGAGCCATGCCATCTCCCCCTGATCTATTTGACGCCATGTGCGTCTGAAGTCATCATCAGAGCTAGCAGGCACAGTATTAACTGCTGCATCTGATGGACCGCTGCGTCCAATGAGTGACTGGCTGCCACCCACCTCGCGCGGAATTTCCCCGCCGCCGGCAGGCAAAGTGTTAACTGCCGCGGAGGGACCACCCATTTCATCTTCATTTGATTCGTCATCACTGGGTGGCACACGGGGCAGATCCATATCTGCTGGCATGTTGGCTGGCAGAGTTGCAGTGGTGTTTGCGTTGGCATCATCATTGTTGTCGATATTGGTATTGGCATTGGGCTCGTCATTCTCCTCAATCACAGTTTCAGCAGGAGTTGTTGGAGCATAGGAGCATGGAGAGTCAGGAGGTCTTTCAAGTTGTTCAATTGGACGATATATTTGCTCAATCGCACAAGGTACCTTGGAACTCATCAGGATCGGCTGGGCTGTCAAGAACTTCAGCATCAGTCGCAACTGGTTCAGTTCAGGAGATTCTTGTTGAGCTGGACCATGGAGTTGTAGTCGATGTGGTGGTTCACCATGCTTTCGATGCTTGACATCTAAGTCCAGATCCAATTCATCGATGGATCTTTTGTTGGTCTTGTGGAGGTCGATCATTTGGACAAAGCGTCTTTGGCGCACCTCACGCATGGCTTCAATTGGAGAAGCTGTTCGGCCTTCTGCATCAACCAAGCGTTTCACATAGTGTTTTCCAGCTTTGGATCAGCACAGTTCCATGAGCAAGCCAGTAGGTGCCGACATTTCCAGTGTCGGGGTCAAGTTGAACAGCAACCACCCCTTCCACTTCATTGTCTGGAACTTGTCTGTGGCTTCACGCCAGTATAGACACCGTTCACCAGCAACTGGATCATCACCTTGACCTCGAAACTGCCGCAACATGACTCTTCTCAACCTGACATCGACATCAGCTTTGGCGCATGCTTGTTGAGCTTGAGATCTACATCAATTAACTAAATTTGAAATGTATGCCCTAGTCACGCCTCAAAAAACTTGACGGTTGCGCATGTGACGGTGACCTAGACGGTGGATTGGCGGATCCGTGTCTCATGACGGTGAGTCAGTGAGTTTGACGGAAAGGTCGACGGTAAAGTTGACGGTCCCTCACAAAGTGTCCGTCAAAGTGTCCGTCACGCTAAAACAGGGCTTATTTTGATAAAATAATTCTTATTTCGTCCAAAATGCGCCACAAAAATAATCCCTTCCTCCTAATACTAAACGTCCCCCTAATACTAAAAACAGGCATCCATCTCCAATTTCCGAAAATTTCAGTTTGGCCAATTTGACTTTTAATTGATCCCCTTTAAAAAACAATTCAAAAATCAACCTACCATTTGTGGGTTCTCCCCCCTAATACTAAAAACTAATTTTACTGCCATTTTTGGCAATATTTTAATTGCGTTATATAAGGAAATTTAATTGATTTTGAGATCGGAAAAAATAGTTTTTAGTATTAAGGGTTTTAATTTAGTATTAGGGGTAAGCTTCGAACTGCCATTTTTGGCAATATTTTAATTGCGTTATATAAAGAAATTTAATTGATCTTGAGATCGGAAAAAATAGTTTTTAGTATTAAGGGTTTTAATTTAGTATTAGGGGTAAGCTTCGAACTGCCATTTTTGGCAATATTTTAATTGCGTTATATAAGGAAATTTAATTGATTTTGAGATCGGAAAAAATAGTTTTTAGTATTAAGGGTTTTAATTTAGTATTAGGGGTAAGCTTCGAACTGCCATTTTTGGCAATATTTTAATTGCGTTATATAAGGAAATTTTTAATTAATTAATTAATTAACATGACTTCGATTTGGTTCCCTAATAATAAATACCCCCCTAATACTAAAAACTACCTGCCGTGTTTTGTATTAGGGGGGGGGTTTAGTATTAGGAGGAAGGGATTATCAAAATAAGCCTTTTATTTTGTTGTGACGGACACCTTTACGAACACTTTGACGGACCGTCAACCTCACCGTCGACCTCTCCCTCAACCTCACCGTCAGAAAAAGAGAACCCGTCAACCTCACCGTTGACCTCTCCCTCAACCTAACCGTCAAGCATCCCGCATGCGCCACTAGAAACTTCAAATTCATACGTTTTAAATTTGGAAAAGATCTACACTTAAGGGTATCCTGCAGGTGTTGGCGGACATCAGGCCTGGCATTGCTGGTTGCCTTCCCATTGCAAGTTGTGTGGGAGTGAAGCCATTCACAAACGTGCTCTCGTTCAGGGAAGGAACCACCCACGTCAGAGCTTCATGCACTGCTTCAACACCTGAGATCTCATTGTCATCCATGTAGATTTGGACTGCACGCCTCAAAAGTTGACGGAGGCGCTCAACAACACTCGTTCGAGTGTGAACTTGGCCAGGTGAGATTTTGAGCTCAGTGTCGTGGTTTTCTGCCCCATGTTGCAAAGATCCCCAACCAGCATTTTCATCACCTGTCAGTTGTTGCATAGGACCATGGAACCTAATCCAGGAACGTTCCAATGCTTTGATCAAAGATGGGGACTTCTCATCAGACACAATGCGGGCAGCCATGTATCGAGTGCATTCATCAACCATGGACAAAATGGCCTCACTTTTCTTCTTGTTCAACCAATCCACATGATATCAGCTTGAACGACTTGATTGAAGTTCTCAGCTCGGTCTACTGCGCCAGGAGACACACCTTTCTTGGGGGGCAGTTCAAGGACTCAATGGCTTCCTTGACTTTCTCACTCACCTGCTTTCCATCGAGCAACTTCAGCAAGACTTCTTTGCGGGGGTTCCCAAGGTTTCCCGTGACGTCGGTGGGCAATTCTGGCAGCATGGGCACCATGATTTGTTGCAAGTTGGCGCAACGTGCCAGTCTCAACATGATCCGCCGCATAGACTTGCTGACTGAAATCCTATTCGTACATGACCGCTTTAGCCAGATACTTTGCGAAACTTACACCATAGTTTTCGGCTTCTCGGCATCGATGTCCACCACCAGGCATGGAACCTTCAAGTGGACAATGGGTGTGATCGCCTTGGCAACGGCGATTCATGAGGTTGAACATTTCATTCTTGGTGGCTTGGATTCGTGTGGACTTCTTGATTGGCTCGGAAAATCTATCATTGTTGATTGTTGTGGCAACATTGATCAAACAGAGCAGCATAGCCAGGAAGCGTTGAAAACGCTTTTGTTTGCCAAGCACGGCTTTTCTCAGGGTGCTCCATGTGAGCGTGTCGGCCAGCTCGCACTTGCTTTACACATGGACAAATTGGGTTCCATGGTCAATCCCACGGCGTTCTTCCTGATCAGCGGCACCTGCAGCACATTTGATGTTGATGTTCTGCATCGGGCTCCACAACGTACACTTTGGTGACATGGAAATCTCATCAGGTTCATCAGAGTCAATCTTTTGGAGAAATGCTCTGCGGTGTGTGTTGAGTGAAAAATCCCAGCCCTCATTCAAACCAAAACGTTCCACATGAGCACCAAGTTTTGCAACTTTGGTCGAAAGGCGACCCTCAACAACGTAAACTTCCCAGAAAAGAGGTGCTTTGGCACGAGCTCCATCACGAGCCATGTGAACCATATTACGCACTTCAGCTCTCTGTTGATTGCATATGTGTTCAAGCTTCATCACCTCACGTTCCGGCAAAGGAACTGCTTCAGGGAAATCATCATCATTGGCTTGGAAGGCTGTGTCATCCATGTTGGGCTTGGTGGCATCGGGCTGCATGAACTCTCGGACCACATCAGTCATTTGGGCACAGCGGTTCTCGGCATGCAAGTCTCTCAAGAAACTG